CAGAAACAGAGAAGGGGCCCAAACCAGGTTGGGGGGGGGGTAGAGAAAGGAAGTTAAAACAAGCGAAGCCACCAGGCTGTTTTCAAGAACACACAAAGCTGATTCAAGATGGCAGAGGCAGACCCTGCCTTCTCCCTAACTCTCCCAGAAAGACAGAGGACAAAGCCCCCAAGCAGGGGCTGGCTTGGGGCTCAAGGTGACAGCCTTCCTGAGACCAAAGTGGAGGGACAAGCTGGTCTCTGGCTGTCGGGCGGGAGTGACGCCAAAGCAGTGGGCTTCGAGGGAAGGCAGCGCCGCCGACGGACAGGCTGGGGATGGTCTCCACCTGCACAGGTTGACTGGGGCTTCAGTGAGAAGACACACATCAAAGTCCTCCCAACCAAGGGTCAACTGCACCAGGTGCTGAGCAGGCACTCAGCTAACACCATGCAACAGGACAGGAGCCCAAAGCACAGCGCAACAGCAGCCTGCAGCAGAAGGGCCTGCTGCATTTGGGGGAGCAAGGGAGGGAAGCGTTCTCTCCACCTGAGCTCCCAGGAGGCAGTGTGCCCTCTAGACACCCACTTGCAAGGTGGACACTTCCACTGGGCCATTGTCCTGTCCCACCAGGAAGAATTCCACCACGACCGTCCTCTTCTCTGTGCGCCGGGATGCCCCTGAGCGGTGTGTGAAGAGTGGGAAGGCCCGGGCCAGGGCACAGGCAGAGGCAAAAACCTCGGGCTGTTCACAGACCATCTGTAGTGAGAGAGGAGGAGGGTGGGGCTGAGGCTACGACGGGATGCCACCGGGACTGTCCCAGCACCAGCGCTACAGTGGACAAACCCAGAGCTCCGTGACCCACAGTAACCTGAGGCTACATGAGAACAGTGTCTGCCACCAGATGTGGTCTGCTCTCTCCCAGACACAGGAGCAAGGCACAGACATAAGCCCAGGCCTCCATAAATCTAAGCTGGCCTCTCTGATTTGTCAGGCGAACTGATCTGGTGTAAATCACTTCGTGGTTGAAGAGTTAGAATGGGAGGTCACATGGACCAGCACGCTCTGCCTGAGGCGGGCCACTGCCTTTCTGAGTACACTGAAGGGCCAGCACTCACCAGGACACACCGGTGGCTTCCAGGTGGCAGGCAGGTTCGCACAAGCCTGGTGATGAAGTGGGCAGCGGAAGGGCTGTTATGCCGGCTCACCCTGGAAGGCAGAGCCGCCACGGTGGCACAGTTCAGGTAGAGGGGACAGCTGTCCGTGGGGTTGGGGTTGAGCGTGGCCAGAGCTGCCTGCCAGAGCTAGATCAGAAAGGAGACAAGAGACCGGCTTCAAAACGTGTTGTGGCAGGAGATGCCCTACTGGCCACGCCTGCTTGTCTACAGCACCCTGGCCCTGCCACCCTCGTGGGGCTGCGCCTCGAGCTGGCAAGGCCTGTCTGGGGACCCTCTGCTTCAAACACTTGGAAGCCCGCCTCCTGGGCCTCGGCCAGTTTCCACGGAAGCGGGTCTCAAGGCCAGAGGCCACGCGAAGGGCTGCCACCGGGTTTTCTGGAAGGCCAGGCCCGGCGGCACGGATGCAGGTGGCTCGGCCCGGGCAGGCCGGCGACACAGGCCGGGCCTCGCAAGGCCAGGGCCTCCGGGA